CCTTTAGACTTGAACAGCAACATCAACTCTTCCCAGATTTTGGACTTCCCAGATAGATATAAATATATAATTATAATTATGGATATATGATTATAGCCATGTTGGAGATATATATGTGTCATATTGGTATGGTCATAAATATCCATATATAGATAGATAAAGATATCATGTCGGTTCTGCTTCTCTGAAGAATCCTGACTAACAAGGAGGATTTCTTGAAACCTGTGAATACCCTGAACTGAGGTTGGGGTGCAGGGAGAAGAGGCAATCAAGAGGCAATCAAGAATACTCTATTAATCCCTTGAATATAGCTTTGCATTGTCAAATTGTACATCAACTAAATCTGACACAGAACTGGACTTAACTTCGCAAAAGCTATTGTTACAAGGATATAAAACAACTGAGGAAATAAGTATCCTTGTCTTCTCAGAGTCCAGTAATTTTTCCATGATAGTACTAGTCTACTTTGGCACAAGAACTTGTCTGTTCTTTGTGATTTTTGAGGAATGAGGTAATGGGAAAGCAGAGACTGGCAAGATGGTACAGTAACAAACTCATATTAATAAAGGCCTTAATTTCATTGCTAACAGTTAATTAGTTTGAATATGTGAACAAGATGGCTAAGAGACCAAGTAATGGGATTGATTTGTTTATTGACACCCTGATAAATTACTTGGAGAAAAACCTCTTGCAACAAAATCCAGCCAGGGGACACAAATTTAGATACACTGGGGCCTAGAATCCATCCAGTCTTGTGTATGGGCAATAAAGATATCTGGTTATAGAGCAAAGATGTGTTATTTAAGAGGATGTGTATGTTTGTAAGGAGGTCATAACTGTAATTTGGGAGATGTTTGTATCAATCAGGAATCACTGTAAGGAGCAGAAAACCCATCTGTATTTTATTTTTTATTTTTATTTATTTTTGAAGATTTTATTTATTTATTTGACAGAGAGAGAGCGCACGCCAAGCACAAGCAGGGGGCGCAACAGAGGGAGAGGGAGAAGCAGGCTCCTCATCCAGCAGGGAGCCCGATGCGGGGCTCGATCCCAGGACCCCGGGATCATGACCTGAGCTGAAGGCAGACACAACCGATTGAGCCACCCAGGCGCCCCTCCCATCTGTATTTTAGATGTAAGAAGGAATTTAATATAAAAAATTACATGCCTACAAACTATTTGGAAGGAGAAGAGGAACAGGTTCTAGGTGGAGTCGCAAGGAATAACTCCCAGAAGAATACAGAACTGACCAACCAGAGTTCTGGTATCACCGCTGCTGCCACCTCAGTCATGTAAGCACATTCCCCAGCCCCCACCCCAGGCCCCTGCCTCCCCTAGAGCCACCACCCTTCAAAAAACCATCTAACAGAGAACATGGCTGAGACTTAAAATTTCCGAGGGAAAAAACGGGGCAGGTGACGGCTTTGCTCCTGAGCCTGCCCTCTCCCTACAAAATATGGATTTCTGGCAGCTGGGCGTGGAGGAGTAATACGAGGCCTTGTGGTAGGGACCTGTCCTCTGGCTGGCGGCTTGAGGATCCTTTCGAAATAGGGTTTGGGCTTCTGGGGGAGGGCAGTTCGTGGATGGGTGGGATGGGGAAAAAGGATCAGGTTTGAAGTCCCCTCCCAATCCAAAATATCCCCATTTGGCTTGAGGGACCCTGGAGTGAGTCTATGCATAGGCATCGTTAAAGGTAGGGGTCCTGGTCTGGTGGGGTTCTCTAGATGGGGGCTCCAAGCTGCTGTAAGCCATCTTCAATGTGTCTGTGTGCTCAAATCTGAGCCCCAGAGCCCCAGAACCGGACTTAGGGGTCTTGGGTGGGTCAGGGGCTCAGATCGGAGATTCTTGGCCTAGAGGCCCTTAAGACAGGGTTTAGGAAATCCAGAATGTGGGCTTGAGGGTTTAAGTACTCCCAGAAGTGGGATTATAGTGGTGCCACTGGGTCTGTGGGCTCCAGTCTAAGATCGTGAGTGTGAACCCTGGGGCCCAGGATAATGGGGTCCCCATTAGAATTGGGAGCATGGATCATGGTTCTGGCGGCCCCACCTCGGGCAGAATTTACAGAGCACCTCTCAAAACAAACAAAAACCAAAGTAAACACGAACCAGAATCGCTAGTACCTTTGAGGCTACAGCCGCATCCATGACCTCAAGGGCACACCAAAACCGAAGTGAAAAACCACAGCTGCTGCTGTCACCACCAGAACTGATTGCTGGCAGACAATGCTGATGACTGAACATCAAAATGTTATTTGTGTGGCAAGCCTGCACAATTCACTTGTCAGGAACAGGCAAAATGTAACTGGAAGATGTCACATTTGCCTTCCAAATCTTGAAGAGTTGGTTCTAATTGATAGACCCTATTTTGCCTCCAGAACTATGGCTGCAAGTGGGTATAGAAAGTGGACTTTTTGACTTTCCAACTTCTCAAACAAGAAGGATAATTAAATGAAGATTGAATAAGCCAGTCCAGAGTACCCTGCTCAGTGGTACATACAGTAAAGGGAGTATTCAGTTGGGAAACCTGGGATGTAGTCTTAGCTCTGTCATGGTCTTAGTTTGATCTTGGGAAGATTACTTCCTCTCTTGGGCCTAGTGGAGTTTATCTAGTAGTTATTGAAGAGAAAGATTTTAAGCAAGAGAGTGATGTGGTCCACTTTGCATTTTAGAAAATCACTTGATCAAGAGGTGATGTAGACCTGCTTTAGCGTAGTTGTGGGTTGGAGAGAAATGTGACACCTTGGAGAAATATTTAAAAGATTAAAGCATTTTATAATGATAAAAATGATTCATCAAGAAACTATAACAACTAAAAACGTAATGCACCTAACACAAGATCCCCAAAATGCATGGGGGAAAAAATGGACAAAATTAAATAGATAAATGAATAATCCAACAATAATAGTTGGAGAATTAATATTCTATTCCCAATAATGGATACTATAAGGAGACAGAAAATCAGCAATGATATAGAAAGCTGGAACAATACTATCAACCAAATTGATCTGAATGACATCTAGAGAATGCTCCAACCAATAGAAGCAGAGTAAACATTCTTCTCAAGCACTCAAGAAACATTTTTCCAAGACAGATCATATGCTAGGCTATAAAACAAGCTTCAGTAAATGTAAAATGATCGAAATTATACAAAGTATGTTCTCCAGTCATAATGGAATGAAATTATAAATCAATAACAGGCTACATATACTATTCTTATGTCTGTGTTTTACCAAATATGTTTGTATTGCCTGCCAGAAAAAAATTCATACGCAAAACATATAGTTAACTAGTAATTTAATTAGCAATAATCGCACCTCAGATAAACCTCATTGGCTACGATACTGCCACTGCGCAAAGCTAGTTAACTAGTAATCTAAAGAAAAATATTTGTAAGAAAAATATTTATTGTGAGTTTTTAAAATTACCAATAACCGGGGTGACTGGGTGGCTCAGATGGTTAAGCATCTGCCTTCAGCTCAGGTCATGATCCCAAGGTCCTGGGATCGAGCCCCGCATCGGGCTCCCTGCTCAGCAGGAAGCCTGCTTGTCCCTCTCCCTCTACTGTTCCCCCTGCTTGTGCTCTCTTGCTGTCTCTGTCAAATAAATAAATAAAATTTAAAAATAAAATAAAATTACCAATAACCTAAACTCATTTCAAAAGTTGTAAAGTACAAGAAGGAAAATAAGGAGAAAAAAAATTGTATTCAATCATATAAACCCAAAATAGCTGTGGTTGATATTTCAGTGTCTAGTATTCCATACTTACTTGTGTATCTATATAAATGAACATGTCCATAAATCTTTATGCAGTTTATATAAGATATAAACAATTTGGAAAACAACAGAGAGGAAATGTGCCCAATATTTAAATTACGATTTTGTAATTTATTTTCCAAGTTATAATGTGTTCTTTATACTGACTGCTTCAATCCTGTTATGTTTTATAACAAACGGTGGCGATTATGTTGAAAACTAGGATTCCTTCAATAAAATATGCAAGATTGTGAGTAAGTATCACTGTGGCATTTTATTTATTTTTTTAAAAGATTTTATTTATTTATTTGAGAGAGAGAGAGGGAGAGAGCACCAGGCAGGGGGAGAGGCAGAGGGAGAAGCAGATTCCTCACTGAGCAGGGAGCTGGACTGAGGGCTCCATCCAGGAACCCTGTGATCATGACCTGAGCCTAAGGCAGATGCTTAACTGTCTGAGCCACCCAAGCGTCCCTCACTGTGGCATTTTATTTTATTTTATGATTTTATGATTTTTTTATTATTTTTTAAAGATTTTATTCATTTATTTGACAGACAGAGACACAGCCAGAGAGGGAACACAAGCAAGGGGAGTGGGAGAGGGAGAAGCAGGCTTCCTGAGGAGCAGGGAGCCCCATGCGGGGCTGGATCCCAGGACCCTGAGATCATGACCTGAGCGAAGGCAGACACTTAACGACTGAGCCACCCAGACGCCTGTCACTGTGGCATTTTAAAGACTTTTTTTTTCTACTTTATGTATCTTATATCTTTATGAGCATTTGTATTTTATTTTTTAAAACAAAGAGGTTGGTCTAATTTGCTATGATTTGTTTCTTTCATTTACTGGATTAGATACATCTCATACATGTTTTTCCTATGTCCATAGGATGTATGTAAAAACATCATCTACTGGATCACAAAGATATAATTCTTATTTATAAGAAATCTTACAGGGTATATTTTCTGAACAGGGAAGGATTCACACAAACTTAAAGATCCAAGTGTTTACTTAAAAAAACAAAAACAAAAACAGAAAACATCAACACTCAGCCATGCTTTTGACTTCAAGGGTAGTAGGAAAGTCGGGGCGGGGGGCGGGGGGAAGGGCAGCTGGATTGCCTGTGACGCATAATTGGGGCCGTGCGCAAACCTTGTGTGACGTTGCTGAGGCCGCTAGAGAAAAACGGCCACTTGTTTCTAAGCCGCCCTAAGGGGAGTTGCATTGGAGCCTTCGGGGCAGTGGTGGGCCGGCTCACCGTAAGATCTCACCTCCGCCATGAGCAGTAACGAATGTTTCAAGTGTGGGCGGCCTGGCCACTGGGCCCGGGGATGCCCTAGAGCAGGAGGGAGCCGAGGGCGCGGAGCCAGAGGCCGTGGTAGAGGTTCTCCGTGCAGTTCCACCTACCTACCTGACATCTGTTACCGCTGTGGTGAGTCTGGCCATCATGCTAAGAATTGTGACCTTCTCGAGGACATCTGCTACAACTGTGGGAGAAGTGGCCACATCGCTAAAGACTGTACTGAGCCGAAGAGAGAGAGAGAGCAGTGCTGTTACACTTGTGGCAGACCAGGCCACCTGGCTCGTGATTGTGACCGTCAGGAAGAGCCCAAGTGTTACTCTTGCGGTGAATATGGCCACATTCAGAAAGACTGCCCCCAAGTCAAGTGTTACCGGTGTGGCAAGACCGGCCACATGGCCAGCAACTGCAGCAAAACGAGTGAAGTCAACTGCTACCGCTGTGGCGAGTCGGGACATCTGGCCCGGGAATGCCCCATTGAGACTACCGCTTAGTTTTTCCCCTTTGTCCCCCCCCCCCACCTTTTGCTGATTGATAATTGTATTATTTTCTCTGAAACCTCTTCACTGACCAAAAGTTGATAGATGGAGGCTACTCCCAGGCCAGTGAGCTTCAATTACCATGTTGAAGGAGGAAAGGGCTGGAAAAAAAAATCTCAGAAGAAGTTGTTCACTTTTAGATGTCATTAATGTGTTTCTGCGCCCCTGGAGAATCTGATTATTGGACAGTCATTAGGCGATTTTTGGTTCTTTGTACTTCGATTTAACATTTAACAGCTACTGTGTGCCATCCACTGCTGGAGGAATTGGGGATATATCAGTGAACAAATAAGATCATGTTTGGGAACACAGGCCTAGAATCTATTAACAAATAATACAGAGTGTCAGTGAAGATAAATTGCTATAGAGAAAAAAGAACACCCGGTAAAAGGATAGAATATGCTGGAGAGGGGACATGTAGTTCTGTCTTAGATACACAAGGTACCCTGAGGAAGTGAAATTTCCTCAGAGATTCGTTGATAAATAAAGCTCATTCTGAAAATGTCTATGACCTTGTCAAAGTAATTTTAACTTTATTACATATTGACCGTTTTGAATTATCTGATCTCATTAGCTTTTATTTATTTATTTTAAAATTTTATTATGTTAGTCACCATATTTAGTTTTTGATGTAGTGATCCACGATTCATTGTTTTCGTATAGCACCCAGGGCTCCATGCAATACGTGCCTTCCTTAATACCCATCACC